GCTAGGAAAGTATTTTTATCCTGGCAAAACAACTTCCATGCTCAGGAGCTGAACTGTTTTAATGTTACTGTATTCCCATGTCCACTTCTAAACTTCTAACAACTCTGTAGAAAAGCTGAGACAAATCTATTCTTTGTCTCCAGCATTGCCTTCAGTACAGGAGATATGTATACACCCTAAATGCTGGAGGAGCAGTGCTGAATAGCAAGAAAAGAGCAGTACAAAGCAGAGTTTGTGAAGAGCTGGGTTCCAGTTTCATCAAAATGGGACCATGTCATAAGTTTCTACAAAGTTCTTTTTTACAGATTGTGACACACCTAGACTGGTCCGTCAGGAAGAGAAAACACCTACTGTTTGTAAATAGAAGGCTTAGAGACTGCTTAATTATAAATTATGAGAAGTTTGTTTTCTAATTATAGAAGGATTCAAGTGATTCATAAAATCAAGTCTAGAAGTTGTTCTCTGCTTTATAGGGAAGGACACATCATTGACGTAATTGTTAAAATGTATTTTAAATAATTAGGCCACAACTGAAAAATTGGGAGAGAAATAAACCAGAATTGATGTAGAATGAACACTTTCTAAACTTCTTTTGCTTAAACATTGTTATACTTAGTAAAGGTCAAAATATGCATGTTTACCAGAAATACTATGAACATGAGAGTAATCTGCTAAAATATAAACAAATTGTGACAGGTGTTTAGTTGGGTTTTTTTAATTGCCTGCTTTATTAAGTATTTAAATAACAAATAAAGGAAAGTAGCTTTTTGTGTGGCTTCCAAGCCCTGTGCTACGTGTTTTTCTCAGTGTTTGGGGTCAGAATTGAAGCCAGCCTCCTCCAATATCAGTGGAGACATGCTCGTCAGTTCCACTATGAATTGAACTCAGCCTCAAAGGAGGCTTTGACAGCTGTCTGCAAATCAGTGGAGATGACTGTATATGCAATATGCTTTCTTCTGTGGGAGAACTATAGAAGTACAGTGGCTATTAAATTTTTTTTTTTATTTTTTTTTTAGCCAAACAGAGACTCTTAAAACTAACAAAATTCAGAGAAAAAAACAATAAGGAAACAGTGGGAAAGATAATGTGCCACATGCTCTAGCTATAATAAGTTGAAGGCCATTGTTGAAGCTATGTAGCAATATTGTGTCAAAGAATGTAAACAGGACCTATTGTTGGTACCCATACTATTGCAGAATTTAAAAATCAATTTTGTGCTTCTTGTAATCCGTTCAGATTTGCTTAAAAAAAAATATATATATATGTATATATATAAAATTTGACTGCAGCCAAGAAGGGTGTTTGACATTTTTTACCATTCATTCATTTTAGAAAATCAGCCAACTGGAAAAAACTGCTTTTAATGGTATTCAGTAAAGGAAAAACTAAGTTTTGGAAATACCGTGTCAGAACTTCCTGTATGATAAATCCAACTTAAATAAAAGGTCATTATTTGATTACTAATTCTTAGACTTGCAAACTACCTTACAGTATAGGAAGTGATAGAACCAGCAGCACCTGTGTTATTCTTGATGCAAACAAATTCTGTGTGTGTAAGTGATATTACCAGGCCATCTTGGGATGAGGGAGGTTGCCAGGCAAGTTTTTAATTCAGTGTTATTTTCCTTATACCCTCCATAAAGCGGAGGGGGGGAACCTTGTTCTATAGGAATCTTTCCAAATTGAGATGCCAAGGTTGAGATTCTTCAGTTCTAGATGCTTTGTCAGAATTGTAGTTCCCTGAGAGTTGCAACTTGTGCATACCTGTGGAAGCAGATGAAAGAATATAAATAAAAATGAGATACAGATTTCTGCTGGTACATGCCTGAAAAAAAAATCATCAAAGATTATTATAATGATTGCTGTTGTTAGATACCATGTCTGGTTTCTGCATATTTAAATTCTTTCTGAGAAAGGTGAAACTTAGGCACTTAGAGATCCCAGGGGATTAATTGCAGAAATTATGACATATTCTACCTCTTGAACAACTTTCAATACTGAAGCTGCATTCTGCATACTTATATTTCTTCTTAATTATACTTCAATGCAGGATAAGTAGTAATTTTCTGTCTTACAAATGCATGTAGCCAATTAGTCTTGTAAATCACCAATACCCAATGGCCTAACTCATTAAATGGAATTTTCCTTTTCGGTTGTTATGGTAAAAGTCTGCAAATAGCTGAATATCATCTTCCTATATGAGCTCAGCCTTGGCCAAGGCTACAAATCCAGTAACTTGAGTGTGAACTATTCCTGTACTCATAGCATGCTGTCTCAGTCTTGTGAGCATGTGTGTCTAAGTATGTACATAAATTGGTATAGGCTGTTTGGCCTCTCTGCACTTTTAAGGCTACAATTTTAATGCTATGTGACAAATTTAGTCTTCCTGATTTCTTCCCATTCCCAAGAAATTCTCAGTCTAGAAGCTCTTGTCTGGCCCACTGAGACATGGAGACCTGAGCTTGTTTTGCTTATGGAAGCAAAGATAAGATAAATGGCCAATGTGTCTCTGAAGAAACCTCTGTTTATATCAAATGATCAAACGCAGGTGTTCTTTTCCTCTTCCCTTTGATTTTTTAAAAATTGTTTTTATTTTTACATATCATGCTGGCCATTCTGTCACCTGAGTATATGAAGGTAACACAAGTAGCTTAGACTACCTCAATGCCAGGATTCATAGAGACAATGAAAGCAGAATGTTAGAACCAGAGAGAACCAGGGAACCACAAGACAGTTGTGAAATGAGTTACAGACCCAGTGTTGCTTTGAGTCAGTTTTGCTGAGGTACAGTATTGGTAAAGAACACAATGTGAGGACATGACGTGGTGGTTGGCCATGGTGCTTTTCAGTGGTGGTGTATTTCCCCAAGGGTGAATGTTGCTTATCTAACATATCCTCCTCCTCTTTTTCATATTGCTTGACATCCAAGGCTTTTGCTGTAGCAGTACAGTAACATACTGGGTTGTGATTTTAAAAGCAATTATCTGAAATATTGTAGAAACAACAAAACCTCTCAGTTCAGGGGAAGTGTTCCCTGTAATCTTATTACTGGCGTGTTAATCTCCAGTGCCTTCTTGACAAGTATTTATAAAACTCCTCTGGGGATTTGAATTTAATAACTTTCTTCTTAAAAGCAAAGAACACCTTACTGTTTAGTGGAATGCAAAATGGTTACACTGGATTTAGGTTACTAAAATCTGAGCATGTTGTATCTGTTCTTATTTGTAATTGCAGGCTTCCCAGAGAAACATTAACAGAAATGTTAAATGTGCTATAAACAACTCTTAAACACATCTTAAAAGTATGCAAAATGATACATCTTTTCTACTATTAGGATTCTGTTACTGGATATGTAACTTGGGGCTCTGCTCTGTACCCCACACTCGTGGTCCTTGAGAATTAACTTGTAACTGCCTTTGGGGAGATGAGCTTAGTGCCCACTCTCTCCCCTCCTCTCCAGGGTTTACTTTGGAAATACTTCAGGTATGTGTACAGGGAAGGGTCAGCAAGATTTATTCCATGAAGTATTTCTGTTCAGCTATTAGAGAATTATATGCATATTGTGTGTATAGATATATTAATGTATACAGCATATATATATATACACACAGTAATGTAGATGTCATATTTCTGTTCTTATTTCTTCCTGTTCTTTTTTCTGCTATTGACTGGACAGTTCTGCCAATCCTAATCGTATCCTGATCTTTACTGCTTGTACCCTAAAGAATCAAAACATTAATAACTGATCTCCAGCTTCTTGCTTATTCACATGGACCTTATGGAAGCCTTTAAACTTCTACAGAGCATCTGCCACTAGGATGTGGTGGAAGTCTTTCAGGAGTGGGGAGGGTCTTGAATGCAGCTTTGCTCACAGATACTAAAAGTTAAAATGCAAAATCATTTTTGATTCTCAAGACAGTGACAGCAGTAAAAGCAGTGAGTAAATTTAACTTGCTCGACAGTTGTAATTTGCAGAATGCATTTGTCAAATAGTTTGGAAGTAATCCAGGGCACATTTGGATGAGGGAAAAAAAAAAAAAAAAGAAATGGGATCAGACTTAAAATGTGAGCTAAATGTCCCCCAAGGTTTGCAGAAACAAGGCTATAAACTTCATTATACCATTTTGTGATGGACAAAGCAAAAAGGTGTTGTGGGAGGGAAAAAGGTGTTGTGTTCAGGGAAAATCCAGTGTTGTTTCATATCTACTTGACACCTTAATGCCACTGATTTGAGTCTTCCACTTCACTAATTGTAAAACTGGTGCTTTCTTTTAACCTATGTTACTGCATTTGGAAGCTGGGAGATATAATTAAAACCCTGGGCTTTTTAGGCCAGTGTTGGTTTGGCCTTTAGTATCGCTGTGGCTGTGAATTGCTAAAACTCTTCTTCACTTAGTGTTTATAATATACAGTGTTGACTCCACTGTCATGGAAATTAATGTGATCTGAGCACAGCTTAGTGAAATCACCAAGAAGGGATCCAGAGATGCCCTATCATTGGAAACAACATGTGGATTTTAAATAAAAAGGAGGCAAATAGGTTAGCTTGGTGGCATCTCTAAGTCATGCTGCAGGTGCTTGCGTTTGGCACGGGGCAGTTGGCGGGGCAGAGGGGCAATGGTGTTACCCTTTTTGTCATCGAGCGCAGAATTTTATGCTGAAAGGGAGTTTTTTCATTAGTTGCATAAAGCCCTGCCAGGCTCTGTGCACATCTGCCATTCTTAAATTCTCTGTTAATAAGTAAAAGTTTTTATTTCTAAACTGGATTTTCATGTTAAGCCATTACAGCACCACAGTTCTACCCCTCAGTTCTGACTTTCAACCCTGTCTATTTTAGACAGTTTGAACTATGGCTTTCTCTGCCCCATTTTATTGCTGTCACAGAATTTCTTCAGAGAATTTTATTACTTCCAGTAAGAATTTTTGTTTGTTGTTGCAGCTCTCTACTGAGTGTAATTAATTATTTTTCTTTTCTGAGTCATTTGTCTTTTATTTTGCAGGTTGGTGAGAGGCAGAGAGTCCTGGTAACAGAAGAATCCTTTGATTCCAATTACTATGTTGCTCACAATCCTTTCTATGAGCAGGTATGGTTAAATGAACAAAGTAACATTTTCTTGTTTTATTTTGCTTTCTGATAGTCTCAGCAGCACAGTGTGCCACAGTGCAAAAAACAAGTAAAGAAATAAGAAGCATTTTCCAGGAAAGCTGTGACCATCCAGAGGAATTATTTATTAGATATTTTGTTTCTTTGCTGTAAATACAATTTACCTGAAATTGTATTCAGAAGTACACAGTAGCTCTAGGAACATACGGCAGGAGAAAGGTACATGCTATATATCTAAGTAACATTATTTGAATGGTTTAAGAAGCTCTAGATTATGGCAGTAATTTTAATTTCTATGTCTCCAAAGCATTGTTTTCTGAATAGCTGAATCTTGATAATTTCTGTACATATTTCAGAAAATCCTTTCAGGAAATGCCATTTGGAAAAATATGAAAAACAATTTCAGTCAGTGTCAGAAGCATCTTTAGATTAATACTGATATGTTGAATTTCCTTCTATGTACTTTCTACAAATTAATTATTTCCACACAGAAACTTTATCTTTGAGCTAAGAACAAAGTACAGCATCTATTTCACAAAATTATTATTTCTGTTTCTATTAGATATCTGGTTCACTTATTATTTTTTCCTCAGGGTTTTCTTTTTTATAGCTCTCTTTTTTTCTTTTGTTGCATCTTTAACCTCTGTCTAATCTTGTATATTGCTATTCCTTGCTTTTGTATCCCTATAGGGATTAAATATAAATTGTTTGGGGCTTTTTAGTGTTCAATGTTTGCTTTACAAAGGTTTCATTAATTTAAAGAAAAAACAGTATATGCAAAAAAATTGTATTTGTTTTATGGGATGTTTGTACCTTGTCTAATACAGCTCCTGATTGGGATTGGTAAAGAATACACAAATTACAAATAAAAATATTAGGAGCAATTTTAAATTGTATTATGGAAGAAATACTTTAAATTATTGAAATGTATGTCTTTTTCCTAAAAATGTTGTGTGTGGCATGCTTGTCAAAGGTAACATCCAGCTGTTTACCTAGGTAAGCAGAAGACTTGGTGCTAGTGACTACAGTGCTACACTGACAGACTCCATTGTACAACTGCAGATTACCTTTGCAGAGGTGTCAAAAGAGAGCTTACTGAAGAAAAAAAAATCAGTAGAAGGAAAATTATCTTCATCCTGGCTCAAACCAGGATATTAAATGGTTTTGGGGATCTAGTTTAAGTAGTTCATTGAACAGAGTAGTCTAAAGGGTACCAAGGGTACTTGGCCAGAGATGAGTCTTTCTGTTGGTATAATTTTATTTCTTAGAAATATGGCTGGAGATTTTTTAATAACAAATACTTACAACAATGTATGAGTGTATGCTAAGCTTGGCTGCTTGGTTCTTTACAGTACCTTCCAGATATTTTCATATATCCTGCTTCTTAAGAAGTAGTCACATACCCATGTGTCTCTCAGGATTTATATTCAGTTACTGCTATTTTGCATATGGGGATACCAAGATTTACAGAGGTCACAGGCCCAGTGATGCTAAATTACCTATTTTTTCTTCATGTTAAATTTGCCCAAGGTTGATTATGTGGGAAGAACTGTGATCTAGTTGCATTGTAATACTGTCTCAGCATTAGGAGATGGCCTCATGTTTGCCACTTGGTTCCACTCAGGTTTCAGCTTGCCCATCTCTGAAAGGCAAGGGTATCTGCTTTTCTTGGAAGATGCCTAGGAAGATCAGCAGAATCTTAGGGTCTGGAAACTCCTGCAGTCATGAAAACCTTGAGTTTTCAGGGAAAAAGGGAAACTACTGGTAATTATTTCCTCCAATTGGGACAATCAACACTTGCAATAGGTGAAATTGGAGAGGCACTATTTGGCAGAAAAATGCTCTCCAAATGTGGTTGGCATAGAGTTTTCCTCTGAAAATCCTCTGCACCTGTTGTCTGAAAATAAGCCATTTCGAGGTGTTTCAAGTTCACCATCCAGAAATCAAGATATGCATGTATTCTCTTTGAAAAACTCACGTTTGTGTGCAGATGGATTTCAAGTAAGTGAAAGTAAGTCCCTCAGATATAATTGTTTAGTCAGGAAATTACTTTTCTTTTTTTAACTGCTTTTCTACTTTTAGAGTTTTTAGAGTTTTTTATGCCATTTGTTTTTCCAGCAAAAAATGTTTCCCTGTGTTGGCCTCTTCTTTTGTAACATGCATGATCTAGGAATGTCTATTACATGATATCTTTTGTGTGACTTTCTTATGGGGCTGTCTGATACCATGGTTGTGGAAATTCAGGAAAGGCTGGCGTTGGTTACTGACCCAAGTAACAGAGTCATCCAGTTTTACAGACATTCATTTTCAATCACACATCTCAGCTGCACAATCAAAATAAGGGCTTGTGCAAACACAAACAGGGGCATAGTTTCTGTCCTGAAGCATTTGCACACTGAAAAACATTTAAGAAAATCTAAAAAAAGCATCATGAGCTAGATATGATAATAGAAAGCTCTACAGCAGTCTTTTTGGGTTCTGTAGTAAAAGTACCCTTGGGAACTGTTTGGGTGTGGATTCAAATGTTGCAACTTAGGCCCAATTTTCTTAAAAATATAAAAGCGTGACTCAAGGAATTGGTTGAGTCGAAAAACTTGAGGAGTGCAAGCTGGAGATGCTACTGCTCAAGTGTGATAGGGGCTACAGTGTGTGCTGGTGACTATTTTTAAAGATTTGCTCTGGTATTTCTCAAAAATTGTTTTCTGAGTCAAAGCTGGAGACACTGGTATCCGTTGTGGTATTTAGTAACTGTCTCTTTATTTGAAAGGTTCTTGTGCCAAAGAATCCTCTGCTAATGGGTAAGATGGTAGAAGTGAATATTTATGAAGCTGGGAAACATTTTATGAAGGGTCAGCCGGTGTCAGATGCCAGAGTTTACACTGCATCCATCACCAGACCGTTAGCAAAAGGAGAAGTTTCTGGTTTAACAGAGGTGAGTAAAAGACATTTTCTGCTTTACTACACTGGTAAAACAGCAACTGTTCAAGCGTAATGATTCCGTGCTATGTATCTGTTATCATTTTATAGTCTCCCTTTTATGTATGCATGAAGCTTTAATTTTTCCTGACAGATTGAAATCTGACTTTAAAAGCTGTTTTTGCTGGTGTCCCTGGCTTTTCTTTGCTGATTATAAAGGCAATAATACCCTTGTTTCTTGTTCCAGGGTGCATGATGAGGAAAGAGCTTACTAGAACTGGAAAGATTAAACACCAGTGATTATATAATTAAATTTTACTCAATTCTAGTTTAGTGGAAGGATTAATCTGTTTGTTTTAATTTACAAAGCTGTTTTTTAAAAATATGTATTGATTACAAGTCTGTTAAAAAAGGTCAAAATTGGGTCAGAGATTCAAATTAAATGATGAATAGAGGTACTGAATATTTTAAATATATTTTGGGAAAAGGGCAACATCTGATTTAGTCATATAAAGAAAATGAAACTCTCTTTAAAAGAGACCTGATCCTTATTTTAGACCTCAGTAGATATGGCTGTTTGCTAAGTATTCTCATACATTTCCTGGAGCTCTAGTTGTAAAAACTGATGGAGTGTGAAATGAAAATGTATATCACATTTCTAAGCACCATTTGATGTCCTTTCTCCAGCACTCTTGTTAGGATCTCCAAAAATATGTAGCAATAATTTAGCACATGAAAGAGGGATAATTAGCAGTTTATCAGCCACCTTCCTGCTTTTACAGTAAATTGTTGACAAGTATTAAAATATATATGCATTGTTGTTGAAGTTGTAAGTAATAGTATTTAAAAGAAATAATCAATGCACACCTTACATAACTAGTGTTAAGCTAAGATGAAGATCCTTGGTCTCTCAATAAACCTTGCTATGGCAACACAGAGCAACAATAGTGCACCTACTGAAGTGTGTTTGGCAGATCATGAAATTTGAGCACTATCACACTGCTAAACTCTCCTTTGAATACTGCCTGTGTGTATGTGTAGATGGGCCTCATAAGGAACTGTAAGAGGGAAAAACAGCCAAAACCTTAAAACTGTCTGGTTGGACTATGTAGCTGTTTAAACACAGCTCATTTTTTCATCAGAAATTTTTTTTTTTTTAATAATCTGCTGGAACACAACCAAGCCTGTCATTAAACTGAGTATGTGCTGCCAGGAGCTTGTAGCATGAGAATAAGCAAGCAGACGGTTGACTGAAATTCTGTATGTTAAAAATGAGAGATAAAACTATTAAAATGGAGGCTACTAATAATTTCCATAAGAACCCATTTAAATGTATAGACCTGCACATGCCCTTTGACTATGAATTCAGGTGAGTATTTATGAACAAGTACCTGGAGTTCCAAGTCAATGACAACAGCATGCAAATGACAAGGCAAATTGCTTTTCATGACTTTGTGGCTGCCAATGCTCCTTCAAGGCAGTATCTTATTTATGTTTGTTCCACTGAACATATTAAGAACTTCCACTTTATGGAAAAAAAGAGAATAGCAATACTTCAGTTAACGGTACATCTTTTGTACAGGGAAACTGCAGCTGAGGGCTTTTAATCACATTAGGCCAATGTGTAATAAATAGAACATGTGAGATTGTACTTTCAAAACAGTATATTTTATAAGGAAATTAATCATATGACCAAAAAAAAAGTTGTAAAAACTGAGAGCACCACAATGTGAGGATGTCAAAGCAAGCCACAAACCCATCCTAAGGAAGAAGAAACTTCTGTAAATGCTGTGATAAGTAGTAACTGCAATTATGTGCTCTCTTTCTCATCTGCTACATGTCCCTCAATATTTTTTTCTGACAAGTTCAGGGGGAGCACCACAAGAAATGTGGTGAGTTTGACAGAACAATTCTAGATCTGTTTCTTTACCCTGTTGGCTGCATGACTGGGGTGAGAAATTGGTCCAAAGAAATACATGAAGTAGGTCACCAACTGGAATCAACAGATCTGACTGTAAAAGGAGAATTCAATGTGTCACGCAAAGAGCAATGTACAGACTTCATAAAATGTCATTCATTGAAGCCAATAAGTATCAGTATTTATCAGGATATTTCTAGCGTATCATTTTATCATGCTTTTTCAAAATATGAAAAACACACCTAATACGTATATCCATTAATGTATTAATGATGGAGAATTTCTTAGCAGTTGTCATATTCTCATGAGAGAAAAAAAACATGATTGAGTAGATGGGATTAGAATATGGTCTTGACAATCAATAAGGTTAGGCTCTGTGACCAAAGTTGGGAGGAATGTCAGAGTCAGCGACTCAGGTTAAAAAGCTGTCAAAACAATCAGACTTACTGATTGTAGTGGACATAGTAAGTATTAAAATGCACAGGTGTTTGCCAGTTCTGTGTTTGTTTTTTTTGGTTTGCTTCAGCATGATTTTTTTTATTAAAACCTCTCTAAAGTGAATGATGTCTACATGTTGCACAATTTTACAGGAGGGCAAAT